AAAGGAAAGGAAGGAAAGAGGGAGTGAAGGAAGAAGAGAAAGAGAGAGGGAAGGAAAGACAGAAGGAAGGATGGAAGCAAAAAGCAAAGGAAGGAAGGAAAGAGGCAGAGAAGGAAGAAAGAAGAAAGAGGAAAAGGGAAGGAAAGAGAAGGGAGGAGAAGAAGAAGGAAGGAAGGAGAGAAGGAAAGAAAAAAGGAAGAAAGAAAGAGGGAGAAAGAAGGAAAAAGAGAGAAAGAGGGAGGGAAGGAAAGACAGAAGGAAGGATGGAAGCAAAAAGCAAAGGAAGGAAGGAAAGAGGAAAAGGAAAAGAAAAAGGGGGAAGGAAAAGAGGTAGAGAAGAAAGAAAGGAGAGAAGGAAAAGAAAAAGGAAATGAAGGAAAGAGGAAGCGAAGGAAGGAGAGAAAGAAGGAGGGAAGGAAATACAGAAGGAAGGATGGAAGCAAAAAGCAAAGGAAGGAAGGAAAGAGGTAGAGAAGGAAGAAAGGAGAGAAAGAGGAAAAGAAAAGAGGGGGATGGAAAGAAAGGGGTAGAGAAAGAAGGAAGAAGGAAAGAAAAAAGGAAAGGAAGAGGGAGTGAAAGAAAAAAAGAAAGAGGGAGGGAAGGGAAGACAGAAGGAAGGATGGAAGCAAAGAGCGAAGGAAGGAAGGAAAGAGGTAGAGAAAGAAAAAGGAGAGAAAGAGGAAAAGAAAAGAGGGGGAGGAAGGAAAGAGGTAGAGAAGGAAGGAAGGAGAGAAGGAAAGAAAAAAGGGAAGGAAGGAAAGAGGGAGTGAAGGAAGAAGAGAAAGAGAGAGGGAAGGAAAGACAGAAGGAAGGATGGAAGCAAAGAGCGAAGGAAGAAAGGAAAGAGGTAGAGAAAGAAAAAGGAGAGAAAGAGGAAAACAAAAGAGGGGGATGGAAAGAAAGTGGTAGAGAAAGATGGAAGGAGAAAAGGGGGGGAAGGAAGGAAAGGGGGAGCGAAGAAAGAAGAGAAAGAGAGAAAGAGAGAGGGAAGGAAAGACAGAAGGAAGGATGGAAGCAAAAAGCAAAGGAAGGAAAGATGTAGAGAAGGAAGAAAGGAGAGAAAGGGAAGAAAAAGAAAAAGGGAGGAAGGAAAGAGGTAGAGAAGGAAGGAAGGAGAGAAGGAAAGAAGGAGAGAAAGAAGGAGAGAAAGAGGGAGGGAAGGTTGACCACAGCAACACGTGGCAGGTACAGCTAGTTATCTAATAAAGCATATTTTATTATTATTATTATTATTATTATTATTATTATTATTATTATTATTATTATTATTATTATATATCCAAAAGAGACAACTGTAGTATATTAACTGATAAGGGAATGTTCCTTTATGTGTCATTGGAAATACAATTAAAATAACAGCACATGAAGACAGACACACATAGACATACAAAGTATTGGACATATTTATAAATCACCCTACGTTCATTACATGTTTAAGGCAACATACACAATTAGGTGGGAAACAACAAAACACAGTAAAAAGAATACATTATAGGAATAACATAAAACAGTAGCCAGGACATTCAGTACAATAAAATCAGAACGTGACATTAGAAACTATTAAAAGCTCAGCAGAACAAATCAGTCTTCACTGCCTGTGTAAAGCATAACAATTATCAGTAAACTAATGTTTGCATGGCTAAGATACTTCTGTATTTAAGTGCACTTCCCATTTAGCGAAGCTCACCAACAAACTTTACAAGTTTTCTTCAAACAGTTTCCACTCTTTGACGTTTCCAGTCCAGTAACAAAGGCCAAAATAATAAGTAACTAAGACACTACATTGTTAGTGCACTGCTAACTGTGTAGTGTCTTAATTATATATTATTTTGGCCTTTGTTACTGCTTACCAGTAACAAAGGGGGGGGGGAGGTTTATTATGACAAAATAACACTGCTTATAACACTGCTTCACCATAAAGAAAGAAACTTACAAAATAAGTGAATAATTCAATTATTAAAAATTAAATTACCAAGACAACAAGATATTCAATAATGAAATATTCCTTCCCTTTAGATCAGTTTCTCAACCTGGTGGTCGGGACCCCTGAGGGGTCACGTAGGGGTTGTCAGAGGGGTCAAGAGGGATTGACAAAGACTATCAACAAACACAGTATTTTCTGTTGGTCATGGGGGTTCAATGATAGAAATGAGTGTCCTCAGAATGGCTGTCACTAGTTGAGGATCTTAGAATCATAGAGTTAGAAGTCCTAAACCAGTGTTTCTCAACCTTGGGGTCGGGACCCCTTGGGGGGTCATGAGGGAGTGTCAGAGGGGTCGCCAAAGACCATCAGAAAACACAGTATTTTCTGTTGGTCATGGGGGTTCTGTGTGGGAAGTTTGGCCCAATTCTATCATGGGTGGGGTTCAGAATGCTCTTTAATTGTAGGTGGACTATACATCCCAGCTACTACAACTCCCAAATGTCAAGTTCTATTTCCCCAAACTCCACCAGTGTTCACATTGGGGCATATTGAGTATTCATGTCAAGTTTGATCCAGATCCATTATTGTTTGAGTCCACACTGCTCTCTGGATGTAGGTGAACTACAACTCCAAAACTCAAGGTCAATGCCCACCAAACCCTTCCAGTACTTTCTCTTGGTCATGGGAGTTCTGTGTGCCAAGTTTTGTTCAATTCCATTGTTGGTGGAGTTCAGAATGCTCTTTGATTTTAGGTGAACTATAAATCCCAGGAACTACAACTCCCAAATGACAAAATCAATCCTCCCCAACCCCACCAGTACTCAAATGTGGGTATATCGAATATTTGTGACAAATTTGGTCCAGTGAATGAAAATACATCCTGCATATTGAATATTTACATTACAATTCATAACAGTAGCAAAATTACAGTTATGAAATAGCAACGAAAATGTTATGGTTGCGGGTCACCACAACATGAAGAACTGTATTAAGGGGTCACGGCATTGGGAAGGTTGAGAAACACTGCTTTAGATCATCAGAACTGGCAAAATACAATACAAGAAGAAGGATTTCATCAGTAATGCCACTGTTATATTGAACAGGATACAACAGAAAGGGCAAAGGGAGAAGTACAAGAATGAAGAGGTTACAGGGAAGGTTGCTGTTGCATTCTTTTGTGCCTTCAAGTTGTTTCTGACTTATGTTGGCATGAAGGCGAACAACAGAATTTATTCAAAGGTTGGGTTTCCCTTGCATTCCTCTGAGGCTGAGAGTATGATTTTCCAAAGGCCACAAAGTGGGTTTCTATGGTAAGCAGGGATTTGCACCTGGGTCACCATAGTCATATCCCAATGTTCAAACCACTATATCATAATGGTTCTCTACAAGGAGAGTACTAGTAATTAAAAGCACAATAGCTCTGGATAATACTTTGTAGATTCTCATGGGACTGTAAACAATAACAGACACACAAATCTGAATGAAACACATCTGAAAACAACACTCAAATGCAACCAAGAAGAAGAAGAAGAAGAAGAAGAGGAGGAGGAGGAGGAGGAGGAGGAGGAGGAGGAGGAGGAGGCCCAGCCGCAAGTTCCCTGGCGCGCGCACATGGCCTTCCGGCCAACTTTCCCTCTGCGGAAACCATGCCCACTCCAAGCCCCGCCGCGCCGCTTCCCGCACACACACACCCCCTGCCGCACACACACACACAACCCCACACTCCATCACTCCCCCCGCCGCCGCACACACACACACGCAACCCCACTCCCCCCGCCGCCGCACACACACACGCAACCCCACACTCCATCACCCCCCCGCCGCTGCACACACACACGCAACCCCACGCTCCATCACTCCCCCCGCCGCCGCACACACACACGCAACCCCATGCTCCATCACTCCCCTGCCCCAATCTTACCTCCTTTTACTTCACGCCACCTCCAAACCCCACCCCGCCCCTTCCCGCCCTGTCAAAATCCAGGAAAGACAGGAAGGAAGGAAAGAAGGAAGAAAGAGAAAGGGAGGTAAAGAAAAAGGGGGAAGGAAGGAAAGTTAGAGAAAGAAGGAAGAAGAAAAGGAAAGAAAAGGAAAGATGGAAGGAAAGAAAAGAGAGACAGCAGAAAAGAAAGAAAAAGGGGGAAGGAAGTAAAGAGATAGAGAAAGAAGAGGAGAAGGAAAGATGGGAGGGAAGGAAGGAAGGAAGGAGGGAAAGAAGGAGAGAAAGAGGGAAGATTGGCCACAGCAACACGTGGCGGGTAAAGGTTGTTATTTCTATTATTATTATGCTATTATTCCTATGAGACCCTGGGGGAATGGGAGAGGTGTCAGGTCCCAGAGGCAATGCATTGCATTATTGTTATTGTTATGATGGTGGTAAAAAAAAAGGAAATAAAAAGTGAAAGAAGGAAGCAAACAGGGAGGGAAGAAAGGCAAAGGAAGAAAGGGGGAGGGAATGAAGGAAAGAGAGAAGGATGAAACCAAGTAGTGAAAGAAGGAAAGAAAGAAAGAGGTAGAGAAGGAAGAAAGGCGAGAAAGGGGGAGGAAAAGGGGGAAGGAATAGGTAGGGACCTCTCTTTCATAATAGTCCAGATATCTACCTCAACTTTGATAAGTTTTACTATAGGCCACAGCAACGCGTGGCAGGGCACAGCTAGTAATAATTAAATTTTGAAAGTTTTGTTAGAGTTCTGAAATTTTCACCACCAGAACTTTAGTTTTGTAAGTACTTTAGAACCATGGATTGCCCAAGCCTAATGCTTAGTTAACAGAACAACAAAAGAGAAACGCTGAATAAGGAAATAACAGATCAAGAAATAAATGCGGCCATAAATAAACTGGATACTACTAAAGCTCCGGGCCCGGATGGCTTCACAGCAATTTACTACAAAGTATTCAATGATGAATTAAGACCCTATTTGAAAAAAATAATGAATGAAGCTCATTCATTACAATTAGTAGGTAACCTCAATATGGGAATGTGGCTAGAAAAGAGAGACTCGGGCCTGCAGAGAAAAATAAATCCTTGTCAGAAGAAGAAGAATACACAAACTTTGGGCAAATCATGTGAATACACTTTAACGATAGTGACTTCTCTGCACAGACCTCTAGACATGAAGTCTGTAAAGAGCTAATGGGTTTCACCAAGAATATAGAGCAGATCCCATAGTTCCTTCAGAATTAGCTATGGTAGTTAAAATAGCAACAAAATGGCTTAATTTTTTTAATGCGTATGCCCGCACCTGCTTCTATAGCAGAGGTTCAGCTTTGTTCCTTCTCTGCCACAACATGTAGTACACACCAATGAGTATAGCATGCACGATCTCAAACGTAATGCTCCTATGCAGTGGCTCATACCAGGTTGTGCTCCTGACACATGAGGGGAGGCCAATCCCAGGGCGGCCAAGAGATGAGGATTGTAACAGTGTCACAAGGTACTAAGGCACAAGGGCGCTCCAAAATTGCTATGTGAAGGTCAGGACTCATGCCTGTGTTTCACCATCCTTGCTCTTCAGCACCACAAGAGTGATCAAGAAAGGAATGAGGCAGATCGGAGTTATGATGAGGGGCAACAAAATATTTTCGGAGGGGTCCAGGAGAGGTGGGTGCAGCTCCGAAGTGCAGTTGCGGAAGTAGAGACGGTGGCTGAGCAAAATGTACTCCTCGGCCAAGTTATTGGGGAAGCCGTAGTTCCACTTATCAGCAAAAGTTTCCAAGCAGTGTCGTAAAATGCTGTATGGTCTGTGGAATCAAGAGAGAGAGAAAGAAACAAAGGAAAATTGCCAGAGGAAGAAGCATTAACCGGAAACGAATCACACAGAGAAAGTTAATTCTTTGGCTTTAGGGAAAAGAAACCTTGCCCTGGAAAATTCAGTAGAACCTTCTACCTTCTGGGAACATATTTTCTCATTGCCTTAGCACAGTGGTTCTCAACCCGGGGGTCGGGACCCCAAGGGGGGTCACAAGGGGGTGTCAGAGGGGTCACCAAAGACCATCGGAAAGCACAGGTCATGGGGGTTCTGTGTGGGAAGTCTGGCCGAATTCTATAGTTGGTGAGGTTCAGAATATTCTTTGATTGTAGGTGAACTATACATCCCAGCAACTACAACTCCCAAATGTCAAGGTCTATCTTCCCCAAACTCTACTAGTGTTCACATTTGGGCATATTGAGTATTTGTGCCAATTTGGTCCAGATACATCATTGTTTGAGTCCACAGTGCTCTCTGGATGTAGGTGAACTACAACTCCAAAACTGGAGCCCCCGGTGGCGCAGTGGGTTAAAGCCCTGTGCCGGCAGGACTGAAGACCGACAGGTTGCAGGTTCGAATCCGGGGAGAGGCGGATGAGCTCCCTCTATCAATTCCAGCTCCTCATGCGGGGACATGAGAGAAGCCTCCCACAAGGACGATAAAAACATCAAATCATCCAGGCATCCCCTGGGCAACGTCCTTGCAGACGGCCAATTCTCTCACACCAGAAGCGACTTGCTCCTGACACGACAAAAAAAGCAAGAACTCCAAAACTCAAGGTCAGTGCCCACAAACCCAGTATTTTCTCTTGTTCATGGGAGTTATGTGTGCCAAGTTTGGTTCAATTCCATCATTGGTGGAGTCCAGAATGCTCTTTGATTGTAGGTGAACTATAAATCCCAGCAACTACAACTCCCAAATGACAAAGTCAATCCCCCCCAAGTATGCAAATTTGGGCATATCAGGTATGTGTGCCAAATTTGGTCCAGTAAATGAAAATATATCATGCATATCAGATATTCATATGATGATACATAACAGTTGCAAAATTACAGTTATGAAGTAGCAATGGAAATAATTCTATGGTTGGGGGTCACCACAACAAGAGGAACTGTATTAAGGGGTCTCGGCATTAGGAAGGTTGAGAACCACTGCCTTAGCATCCTTTTCCTAAACCAGTCCTATTAGCCAAAATAAATGTTTTATGTTCTTCCAGTTATAAATAACACTTTCTGATGCAAATCTTTAAAAGTGTTCAGATTAACAGGGGGCAAAGCAGGGATAACAGCTGTCCGGTCCTCCAGATATTGTTGAACAACAACTCTCTGCCTTCTTTTAAGGCTCCTTCTACTCTGCCATATAATCCAGATTATGAAATCAGATAATCCATGTTATCTGCTTTGAACTGGGGCCCTTTCTACACTGCCTTATAAAATCTAGATTATCTGCTCTGAACTGGATTATATGGCAGTGTAGACTCACGGGATTATCTGAGTCTACACTGCCATACTTAGGTGATCCCTTGTTGTCCGAGTAGGATTATCTTCCAAGATCGGTGTACTTGGCACATTTCTCTCTTTTGCCCTCCATTCGTGCCTCTTCAAATTCTACAGCACTGCTGGTCACAGCTGACCTCCAGCTGGAGCGCTCAAGGGCCAGGGCTTCCCAGTTCTGGGTGTCTATGCCAGAGTTTTTAAGGTTGGCTTTGAGCTCATCTTTACATTTCTTTTCCTGTCTACCAACATCCCGTTTTCCGTTCTTGAGTTCGGAGTAGGGTAACTGCTTTGGGAGATGGTGGTCAGGCATCCGGACAACATGGCCGGTCCAGCAGAGTTGATGGTGGAGGACCATCACTTCAATGCTGGTGGTCTTTGCTTCTTCCAACACGCTGACATTTGTCCGCTTGTCTTCCCAAGAGATTTGCAGGATTTTTCGAAGGCAACGCTGATGGAATCGTTCTAGGAGTTGAATGTGACGTCTGTAGGTAGTTCACGTCTCACAGGCATATGGCAGAGTTAGGAGGACAATAGCTTTATAAACAAGCACCTTGGTATTCCTACAGATGTCCTGGTCCTCAAACACTCTCTGCTTCATTTGGAAAAATGCTGCACTCGCAGAGCTCAGGCAATATTGTATTTCAGTGTCAATGTTGACTTTTGTGGAGAGGTGGCTGCCAAAGTAGTGGAAGTAGTCAACATTTACTAATGTTACACCATTAAGCTATATTTCTGGCATTGGAGAGGGATTGGCTGGTGACTGCTGGAAGAGCACTTTGGTTTTCTCGATGTTCAATGACAAGTTGAGCTTCTCGTATGCTTCTGCGAAGGTGGCTTGTAGGTCTTCTTCTGAATGCGCACAGATGACGTTGTCATCAGCATATTGGAGTTCTATAACATGATTTATAATACTGCTATATAATCAAGTTGAAAGCAGATAATCTGGATTTTACATGGCATTGGAGAAGTGGTCTTAGATGTAATTCCTTGCTAATTTCATTCTTGAAGAAAGCTATGAGTCATTTTAGGAGTTTTCTCTCTACCATGGGGGTCTTTAAAAACTACCCTATTTACTCAAATCTAATGCTCACCTTTTTTTAACTAAATTACCTTGCCAAAATTAGGGTGTGCATTAGATTTATGTAATACAGTAATCTTAGAGCTGAGCAAAAGCAATAGGGGAAGCTGCTTCAGCAGCCCTTGTTTGAGGATGCCATCCCTAATTTAATTGCCATGAATCAATGCTATGTAGGCTCGTAGGCCGAAGCAGGAGCCTAAGATGTCAGTAAGCAGGCCTCCATTTTGAGAGGGTAAACCAGGGAGGCAGACATCTTGGGAGTGTTAGAATAGAAGAGGGGAGGAGCTGGAGCTCTCTCTGGATTGGTTAAGGCAGGATGGGAGGAGTTTTAGCCAAGAGAGGGAAAAGCTGTAAGCTTGTCACACAAAGGGAGATGGATTTTTGGCTTTGAAGGGAGAGGGAGGCGGATTTTTGGTGAGCAAAGATTTTTACTGAGAGAGGGCATTTGGGGCAGGTGATTCTACATTTATTTGGCCAGGAGGGTCAAAGTAGACACCCGTGTGCTTGTGTTGGATGTATGACACAAGTGGATTGCTCTCTGGGATCAGAGTAGTTTAGCTGTCAGAGAACTCTGTTCAGAGTGAAGTTATTTACTCTGGGGACAACTGGGGTTGGTTTGTCTGAGGAACTCACTGCTACTGGGTCAGGGTAGAGTGAGGGAATCTGCCCACGTTTAAGTTAGGAAACCTATTTAAGAAACCATTTAAGAATAGTGTGCCTCTGTAACCATCCAAGCTTGTGTGCCTCTTTGAAGAAGTTAGTTGTTTGTTCAAATACATTAATAAACTTATTCTCTAGTTCAACGTTTAAGCAGCCTCAGCAGTGATTCATTCTATAAGAATAATTCCAGTGATTTTCAACATCTTTACATCTCAGTTATTTGAGCCAAAGGGAGAGCCGGTGGGTAGGAAGGGATTTACCTCAGGGACAACATCTTTAGTATTCCCAAATTTCTTTGGGTGGTGGCAGCAACTCTATCAGATTATACATGTTACCTCAACATTCATTTAAATGCTCCATGCCAAGAAATATATTTAATATAATTGGTGTCCAGCGGTGAGAGTTATTTTGAGATCTTGGCTTAGGATCCTTTAAATTGGTGCCAGCTGGTAGGATATATTAGAGAAAATAATAATCCCCGGGATCTATATCATGATTACATTATACTATGCAATCCTGGGATTTGTAGTTTGGTGAGGCATCGACATTCTTTTGGCAGAGAAGGTTTAAGACCTTGCAAAACCACACACACACACACACACACACACACATCACCACCACCATTTTATCAAAGTGATAGAAGAAGTGAGCCTTTATTTTGTTTTGAATATCAAAATTAAGATCTCAAGTGTCCAAGTCAGAGAATGGAATTTTTAAAATATGGATATATCTCTAATTTGCTCAATAGCCATTAAGCATTTGCTTAACGCGATACCCAGAACAAAACGTAGTTCTCTGTACCTGCCAATGGCCCTCCACTCACACCAGTGCTCTTTGCTGATATTACTCATGTGGCGGTAAAATTTCACCCAGCAAACTTCTGCAAAGTAATAATAGATAGCATCTAGAAAAGAAAGAAAATAAAACATAATGAGCAGTGCCCCTCATTTTTCCACAATGCAAAAAGTAACAGCTAAGCATTTCCCAAGTGTGCTTTGTCGATCACAATAATATGGATGGACTTCACTGGCTTCTTATTGATCTACCAGCCCAATTTAAGAAGCAACTTTTAACCTATGAACAATCTGAAGCAGGATGCCTGAAAGACTGCCTAGATCTATACGAATATATTGTAGATTATGAATAATACCAGAAGCCTGCTACTTGCCATTGTTGTTGTTCATTCGTTCAGTCATTTCCGACTCTTCGTGACCTCATGGACCAGCTCCCTGTCGGCCGTCAGCACCCCCAGCTCCTTCAAGGTCAATCCAGTCACTTCAAGGATACCATCCATCCATCTTGCCCTTGGTCAGCCCCTCTTCCTTTTTCCTTCCATTTTCCCCCAGCATCATTGTCTTCTCTAAGCTTTCCTTTCTTCTCATGATGTGGCCAAAGTACTTCATCTTTGCCTCTACTATTCCTCCAATGAGCAGTCAGGCTTTATTTCTTGAAGTATGGACTGGTTGGATCTTCTCGCTGTCCAAGGCACTCTCAGAACTTTCCTTGAGCACCACAGTTTAAAAACATCTATCTTTCTTCGCTCAGCCTTCTCTATGGTCTAGCTCTCACATCCATAGGTTACTACGGGAAATACCATTGCTTTAACTATGCAGATCTTCATTGCCAGTGTGATGTCTCTACTCTTCACTATTTTGTCGAGACTGGACATTGCTCTCCTCCCAAGAAGTAAGCATCTCCTGATTTCCTGGCTGCAGTCTGGGTCTGCAGTAACCTTTGCACCTAGAAATACAAAGTCTGTCACTGCCTCCACGTTTTCTCCCTCTATTTCCCAGTTGTCAATCCTTCTTGTTGCCATAATCTTGGTTTTCTTGATGTTTAACTGCAACCCAGCTTTTGCACTTTCTTCTTTCACTTTGGTGAGAAGGCTCCTTAGCTCCTCCTCACTTTTGGTCATCAAAGTGGTGTCATTTGCATACATAAGATTGTTAATGTTTCTTCCAGCAATTTTAACCTCAGCCTTGCATTCGTCAAGCCCCGCACACCTCATGATGTGTTTTGCATACAAGTTGAATAGATTGGGTGAGAGTATACAACCCTGCCGTACGCCTTTCCCAATCTTGAACCAGTCTCTTGTTCCAAGGTTAGTTCTTACTATTGGTACCTGGTCCTTATACAGATTCCTCAGGAGAAAGACAAGGTGATTTGGTATGCCCATACCACTAAGAACTTGCCACAATTTCTTATGATCCACACAGTCAAAGGCTTTAGAATAGTCAATAAAACAGAAATAGATGTTTTTTCTGAAACTCCCTCTGCCTTTTCTAAACCCAGTTTGTACATCTGGCAACTCTTGCGCCATGTATTGCTGGAGTGTACTTGCCATATCACCCGGAAATTAGGACCCCTTCTGCATTGCCATATAAAATCCAGATTATCTGTTTTGAACTGGATTATATGGCAGTGTAGACTCATATAATCCAGTTCAAAGAAGATAATATGGGTTATCTGCTTTGCTAATCTGGATTATAAGGCAGTGTAGAAGGGGCCGTCCAACACTGATACCACTATGCAACACTCTCTCCCCTTATTTTGCTTTGCTATGGTGGTGCTCACAATGTGCAATGTTGATACATGATCATTTCCAGTTTTGCCCCTGTCAGCAGAAAACACCTGCTGGCAAACAATTTGCCTTGCACCTATCGCACACATTTCACATATGTCTTTCACTAACAGAATGCTAGCTAAAATCTCACTGCTAATATGATACAATGTAAGAAGGAAATCCAAGTGGGAGTTGGAAAAACTTAAAATCAGTACTTGCACTTTAGAGAGGTTCAGACTCCTGCAAGTTATGCAACAAGGTGCTCTTGCCAAGTTTCCAAGGTTTGGCACTCTAAAGATCACACAAATGCATTCACTCCCTGCTTCCTGCATGGAATTAGATTAAAGGCTATTGTTTCTTTTAATTTATACTCAAAAGTAGTTAGTCAGACAAAAACAACCGTCGTGCCAAAATACTGGTCTTGATGCATTCTGAGATGTATCCCTTCATCAACTTTTTTTTTCATTTTCTTAGGCAATCCCTCATAGTTCAAGGATGATTGCCTTCCAGATTTGGTATCGTGGTGGTGGGTCTGTAGGTGGCTGTGGAGTCCTATTCTTGATCTGCACATTCTCCCCCAGTGAAGACATTGGTTTCCAGACAGAAGGCAGTCCCAGTCAGGGTTGGCTTGATGTGTCTCCCTCTTGGCACGTTTCTCCCTTTCTCCCTCCATTCGTGCCCCTTTGAATTCTGCAGCACTGCTTGTCACAGCTAACCTCCAGTTAGAGCGCTCAATTCTTGGCTTCCCAGTTCTCAGTGTCTATGCCACAGTTTTAGAGTTTGGCTTTAAGCCCATCTTTAAATCTCTTTTCCTGTCCACCAACATTTTTCCATTCTTGAGTTCAGAGTAGAGTAACTGCTTTGGGAGACGGTGATCAGGCATTTGGATAACGTGTCCAGGACAACAGAGTTGATAGCAGAGGACCATCGCTTCAATGCTGGTGGTCTTTGCTTCTTCCAGCATGCTGGTATTTGTCTGAGATTTGCAAGATTTTTCAGAGGCAGCGCTGATGGAATCATTCCAGAAGTGGCATATGATGTCTGTAGACAGTCCACGTTTCGCAGGCATATAGTACATTAATTTTTTTCATTTACTTCTAAAGCTTTCCAACGGGTGACTTGAGACTATTTCACCTTCAGTTCAGATCTTTCTCCACACACAATTATTATTATTATTATTATTATTATTATTATTATTATTATTATCCAGAACATAATTTATTTATTATTATTTATCCCGTTCCTTCTTAGCCCCTGAAGGGGGACTCAGGGCAGCTTATATTTGGCAGCAATTTGATGCCACTACATATAACAGAGCAAAATAATAACAATTAAAACAATAAGTGAAACATTCATTAAAACAGTAAAAACAGTATTAATAGCTGTATCATCATTCAAGTCAATTCCATATCCAATTCCATGTTCAAAGTGTCTGTTGCCCAAAAGCCTGGTCCCAGGACCATGACTTCAATTTCTTCCTAAATGACAATGGGAAGCGAGTTCCACAGGCGGGGGGCTACAGCCGAGAAGGCCCTGTCTCTCGTCCCCGCCAGACATAAGGTTCTAAATGAGCAAAAGGTCTGATCCAAAATTGCAATTCCTATTTTTTCATAATGATAAGCATGTCACCTGTCAAAGGAAATACTCGATGTCCATGTTCACCGACATCAGAACCCCCAACTCAACAACTTCCAAGTTCTTGTGTCAGAAGAACATCAGAAGTGCCTTGCTGGAGAAGACCAAAGGGTCTGTTTAGAGTGAGACCATCAGTCTGTTCCCACTGTGACCAATGATATGCCTCTGGCAACACCAAAACAGGACAAGAGTGCATCATGTATACTCGCCAGGAACACCTACTAAGGGTCTCAGCACACTAGAAAATGAATTCACTTTAAATCTGGTTGCTGCCTCCTGCAGAATTCTGGGGTTTGTAGTTTAGGGAGGAGCCTTTAACAGCCTCACTATAGTACAAACCTCAAAATTCTGGAGGAGGCAGAGACTGGATTTTAAGTGGATTAATTCTCTGGTGTGATGAATAACACTGCAGCCAGTCTTTAATGCATAGGCATCAAGAGTGGCAGCTGCTAGTATACTCTTCCACCATTTTTGTCTTGCCTTTTTATAGTCAGTAAGATTTGTGACCATAATCAGAGGCGGCCCTAGGTAATTTTCAACGGTAAGCAAACAGTATTTTGCCCCCCCCCCCCAACCAATCATTGATATATATTTTCTGTTCATCGTGGGAGTTCTGTGTGCCATATTTGGTTCAATTCCATCATTGGTGGAGTTCAGAATGCTCTTTGATTGTAGGTGAACTATACATCCCAGTAACTACACTTGCCGCACTTGCTCCCTTGCCTGGCCCGCTTTGGGTCTGGAGGCGTGCCTGAAGACCCCGGCGTGTGCACCAAAAGTCACCTCTTCTCCTGACTTTCTCCTCAGCCATTGGGACCAAGAGAGAGGAGAGAGAGGTGGAGATGCCCACCTTTCCTGAAGGTAGGCGCAAAAACAAAGGAGGGAGCGGAGGTGGGAGATACCTCCAGCCGGAGGGGCTCTCTCTCTCTCTCTTGGTCCCAATGGCTGAAGAGAAAGTCAGGAGAAGAGGCAACTTTTGGTGCGCACGCTGGGGTCTTCAGACACGCCTCCGGACCCGAAGCGGGCCAGGTGCGGCGGCTCCGCCCCTTGGCCCACTCGCAGATTAGGGAGAGGAGAGGAGGCGGGTGGAGCGCTGGGGGATCGGGAAAGGGAGCCAGTCATGGGGAAGGGATCGAACGCGGAGAACAATTGAACACCGGCTCTGCTCACACACCCGGTGGCCGGGTGGAGCAGGAACGAGAGGGGCTAGGCGAGGCTCAAGGGCCCGGCCCCTTTGGGAAAAGGATCACCCAGCAGCGAGGCAATAAAGCCGAGGCTCCCCCCGGACTGCTAGGGCTGTTGTGAGCCGAGGGGGCGCTCCTCAAGTGGCAGTTGAGGGGCATTTATAGAGGCGCCACTGCGCCCCTGGCAAAAAAAAGTGTTCTGCGACCGCTTATTTCGCGTAATGGACGAGCCGCCCCTGACCATAATCACAACTTACAGTCATGGTTTCCTCAGTTTAATAATGTACGGAGATGTAGTACTTCCATTTGGCCACTCTCATGATTCATCTCCAGTGAATTGCCTAATTTTTTGAGAGAGGGGCAGAAAAACGTTTGCTTATCCAGCCTAAATAACTTGTAATAGAACTCACCAAGATCAATTGTTGTTGCGTTTCTATCTACGTTCCCTTGATAGCTTGAAGCTGTAAAATTTGGTCCTCCTTCCAAAGACAAGCTGGCATTGCTGGGAGATGCCACTGTCCCAGAGTAAGCATCAAGCCCCATAGTCACTGTAGATAACAGAAGGCAGATGAATGAATTTGAAGAAGGATGTTTTGCTAATAAAAGTGTACAATTTTGAACAAAAATGATTAGGCCTTTCATAGGAGCACAGAATCACATTGGACTCAAAACCAAAAAAGAAATTAGTCCTTAATAAAACCCCAAGATTTGGAATCTATGGGGTGGGCAATCAGGTAGGCATGGAAATACAAGTCACAAATATATGACTTAATATTGAAGTAATTTATTACCTACTCGCTGTCCCCTGCTACGCATTGCTGTGGCCCAGTCTGGTGATCTCGAAAATAAAGTAATGAGAAAGTGTTGGTTTCTAATATATGTAATTTCTTTATGCTTGTGGGTAAACAGTATTTCTTGCTGTTTTTTGTCAGTGTTGATGTGGAGAGTGTCTGGTTTGCCTACTCTGGAACATGCAACATATAATTGTCCTTCTTTAAGGGTCCCTTTCAAATCTATGATACAATATCTGTGTGTGTGCGAATCATATATATCATATACATGTGTGTGTGTGTGAAACATATATATCTATCTATATCTATAGCTGGATGGCTCTTTGTCCAGAGGGCTTTGATTATGTTATCTTGCCCTGGTGACAGGAGTAGGATTTGATGACCTTAAGGCAGCATTTCTCAGCCTGGGGGATCAGGACCCCTGGGGGGTCATGAGGGGATGTCAAAGGAGTCATCAAAAACCATCAAAAACACAGTATTTTCTGTTGGTCATGGGGTTCTGTGTGGGAAGTTTGGCCCAATTCTATTGTTGGTGGGGTTCAGAATGCTCTTTGATTGTAGGAGGGCTTTGATTACATTTTCTTGCCCCGGTGAAGGGAGTTGGACTGGATGGCCTAAGGCTGCATTTCTTAAACCTGGGGGTTGGGACCCCTGGAGGGGGGGTTGTGAGGGGTGTCAGAAGGGTTGCCAAAGACTACCAGAAAACACAGTATTTTCTGTTGGTCAAGGGGGTTCTGTGTGGGAGGTTTGGACCAATTCTATTGTTAGTGGGGTTCAGAATGCTCTTTGATTGTAGATGAACTATAAATCCCAGTAACTACAACTCCCAACTGTCAAGGTCTATTTTTCCCAAACTCCATCTGTGTTCATATTTGGGCATATGGAGTATTCGTGGAAAGTTTGGTCCAGATCCATCATTGTTTGAGTCCACAGTGCTCTCCAGATGTAGGTAAACTACAACTCCCAAACTCAAGGTCAATGCCCACCAAACCCTTCCAATATTTTCTGTTGGTAATGGGAATCCTGCGTGCCAAATCTGGTTCAATTCCATCATTGGTGGAGTTCAGAATGCTCTTTGAATTAAGGTGAACTATAAATCCCAGCAACGACAACGGTAAAATGACAATATCAATTCCCCCCAACCCTACCAATATTCTGTGTGGGAGGTTTGGACCAATTCTATTGTTGGTGGGGTTCAGAATGCTCTTTGATTGTAGGCTAACTATAAATCACAGCAACTAGAACTCCCAAATGACAAACTCAATTTTTTGAGTGATGGTCACTCCTTGGGTTAGTAGGTGTCTAGTGGCCAAATTTGGCGGCAATTCATCCAGTGGTTTTTGACTTATGTTAATCCCACAAACTAACATTACATTTTTATTTATATAGAAGAAGATGGGGACAGAAGGTTTCAAGATGGAAGTGTGCCATATTTGGTTCAATTCCATCATTGGTGGAGTTCAGAATGCTCTTTGAATGTAGGTGAACTATAAATCCCAGCAACTAAATGACAAAATCATAATTTTTTGAGTGATGGTAACTCCTTGTGTAGTGAGATGTTTTGTTGCCAAATTTGGTGTGATTTCATTCATTGTCAAGGTCTATTTTCCCCAAGAGCGCCTCAAGAGCGCCCCTGGGCAAAATCAACTATACTGCAAATGCTTACTTTGCGTAATGGGTTGAGCCGCCCCTGTGCCTAGCCTTGGAATCATATTCTACATACTTTCTCTCTATCTCTCTCTTTTTTTGTAAACATTTTGTTTGTATTTTGTTTATTGTACTCATATGTTCTGTGTTTTACTGTGATGTTGTTTATTTTATGGTAACTTGTATCTTACTTTATTGTAATTTGTTGTTTGGGCTTGGCTTCATGTAAGCCGCCCCAAGTCCCCGTTGGGGAGATGGTGGTGAGGTATAAATAAAGTTATTATTATTATTATTAATATTATTATTATTATTGAAAATCCAGTTAATTACGGTTTCACTTCTTCCATTTCTTCTTCTCTTCTGTCTGACTGATGCCTAGTTGTTGCTGTTGTTGTTTTTGTGTGGGGAGTGGGGTGGGTGGGTAATATTTTGTATGGTTTCAAATGTTTACCCACAACAACGTGCACATTTGCTTGATCCCAATGAAGATACTGTCTGCACATCTGGGAATTTTCCTTATGGGCCAATATGGTTTATTTTGTGTTAGCTAATCCATGCTTTGCAGCCTGTTAGGGAAGGAAGGGAGCCTCCTACACACATTTCCTCTGGAGTTTAAAGAACTGCTACACCCAGGGACCGGATGCTACAGGGCACATAGATGTAGACTTGGCTTTAGCTGGCTCAGCTAATATAGTCCACACATCCTCATTATTATTGTTATGTTTCTTCAAGTCAACTCTGATTTGTGGTGACCCTATCATAGGGTTTTCTTGGCAAGATTCATTCAGAGGCCATGGCCCTCCTCACAAATACAGTGTATCTGCTGGGCTTTGGCTCCAGGATCCTCCATGGATGCTCAAGCTAATGTTAAAATGGTATCCCTTATATAAAATGGTTTTTAAGCCATGGATGGCAGAAATCATGGATGCAGAATCTGTGAATTTGGAAGGCAGACAGCATAGCCTACATTCTCTGATGTTTGCTAGCAGTCTCCAATCCAAGTACTAGCCACACCTGTCACTGTGTAGTTTCCCATAGCAGTCAGGATCTGGTGCCTTCAGAGTATCTAGGCAAAATGCACCCCAGACTATGTCCAATTTCCATATCTTTGACTAGAAAGACATTTTTCTGACCCAGACTCTTCCCCCTGAGAGTATAAACACGATCCCTAAGATCATCCGGAGAGGCCCTGCTCTCGATCCCACCATCATCGCAGGCGCGATTGGTGGGGACAAGAGAGAGGGCCTTTTCGGTGGTGGCCCCTCGACTCTGGAACTCACTCCCTAAAGACATCAGACAGCCCCCAACTCTGTCAGTCTTCAGGAGGAGCTTGAAGACGTGGCTGTTCCAGTGTGCCTTCCCGGAATAATGATCCCATAGCACTTTGTCCTCCAAAGCACTTTACATTTGTCCTCCAAAGCACTTTACATTTGTCCTCCAAAGCACTTTACATTTGTCCTCCAAAGCACTTTACATTTCTTTAGGTCTGCTCATATGCCCTTCCACAAACACCGGTATCACCTTTCATAGAATCATAGAATCAAAGAGTTGGAAGAAACCTCATGGGCCATCCAGTCCAACCCCCTGCCAAGAAGCAGGAATATTGCATTCAATTCACCCCTGACAGATGGCCATCCAGCCTCTGTTTAAAAGCTTCCAAAGAAGGAGCCTCCACCACACTCCGGGGCAGAGAGTTCCACTGCTGAACGGCTCTCACAGTCAGGAAGTTCTTCCTTATGTTCGGATGGAATCTCCTCTCTTGTAGTTCGTCCATGTCCCAGCATTATTTCCAATTTTAACTCTACATTTGGCCTTCCCACTGTTTTTAATTGTGTGTTGTCTTATTGATAATATTGTGTATTTTATTGTCTATGCTTGTATTGTCTATGCTTGTATTGTTGTTATTATTGCTCCTATTGTGTTTGGGCTCAGCCTCATGTAAGCCGCACCGAGTCCTTTGGGGAGATGGTAGCGGGGTACAAATAAAGTGTTGTTGTTGTTATTATTATTATTATTATTATTATTATTATTATTGCTCTACTCCACAACATGTGGGTTTTGGATTACTTGCGTGGGACGTCTATATAAATAAAAATGTAATGTTAGTTTGTGGGATTAACATAACTCAAAAACCACTAGACGAATTGACACCAAATTTGGACACAATACACCTATCAGTCCAATGAATGATCATCACTCATAAAAACTCTGAAAAACACAGCAAAAGGGGTTTAAAAATACAAAAAAGCAAAAAGACACTACAGCGCATGTGCAAAAATGACTCCCCTAGCAAACAAAACGCACAATAGCATATCCACACTCTCTTCCGGACTACAGTTCCCAGCATCCCCTAGATCAGGCTCTTTAGGAGAGGAGGAAGATCCAAATGCACTTCTTCCAAGCTGCGAGCTTTCTTCTCCTTGGATTTCTTTGAGAGCATCTCAATCCCTGCATATTTCCAATTTCCTATTTCTGGACTGCAACTTCAAGCAATCCTCCAGATAGATAGATTAGATGGGGATAGATAGGTAGGTAGATAGATAGATAGATAGATAGATAGATAGATAGATAGATAGATAGATAGATAGATCAGAAGGACTGCTGGGAGTTGCAATCCAAGAATAGGTAGAGAAGGAAGAAAGGGGAGAAAGAGGAAGGGAAGAAAAAGGTGGGGGGGGAGAAAGGGAGGAAGAAGAGAAGGAAGGAAGGAGAGAAAGAAAAAAGGGAAGGAAGGAAAGAGGGTGGGAAGGAAGGAGAGAAAGAAAGAAGAGAAAGAGGGATGGAAGGTTGGCCACAGCAATGCGTGGCGGGTACAGCTAGTTCTGAATATATTTGCTTTACAACCCCAGTGACAAATGCACCTGCTCTCTACTAGGGAATGCCATGGTTCAGATTGAGTGAAATGAGGGCAGGGGCAAAAGGGAAATGGCTCTGGTGGGAAACAGGAACTTCGGAGCTTTTTCAGCTCTAGGGTTCTAAGACTTGTTCCCTACTCTCTGCCAAATTCACTTATTAAAAACCCATCTATAGAAATAAAAATGTAATGTTCATTTGTGGGATTAACATAACTCAAAAACCACTGGACAAATTGACACCAAATTTGGACACATGACACCTAACAACCCAATGCATGTCCTTCACACAAAAAATTGATTTTGTCATTTGGGATTTGTAGTTGCTGGGATTTATAGTTCGCATACAATCAAAGAGCATTCTGAACCCCACCAATGATAGAAATGGGCCAAACTTGGCACACAGATCTCCCATGACCAACAGAAAATACTGGAAGGGTTTGGTGGGCAGTGTCCTTTGGTTTTGGAGTTGTAGTTCACCTACATCCAGAGAGCACTGTGGACTCAAACAATGATGGATCTGGACCAAACTCTACACGAATACTCAATATGCCCAAATGTGAACACTGGTGGAGTTTGGGGAAAATAGAATCTTGACATTTGGGAGTTGTAGTTGCTGGGATTTATAGTTCACCTACAATCAAAGAGCATTCTGAACCCCACCAACAATGGAATTGAACCAAACTTGGCACACAGTTCTCCCATGACCAACAGAAAATACTGGAAGGGTTTTGTGGGCAGTGTCCTTTGGTTTTGGAGTTGTAGTTCACCTACATCCAGAGATCACTGTGGACTCAAACAATGATGGATCTGGACCAAACTCTACACGAATACTCAATATGCCCAAATGTGAACACTGGTGGAGTTTGGGGAAAATAGAATCTTGACATTTTGGAGTTGTAGTTGCTGGGATTTATAGTTCACCTACAATCACAGAGCATTCTGAACCCCACCAACGATAGAATTGGGCCAAACCTCCCACACAGAACCCCCATGACCACCAGAGTGGGCCACAGCAACACATGGCAGGGGACGGCTAGTCAGAAATAAGAGAAGGGCACAAGAGTGCTCTTTTCATCTATTGCACCGAACCTGAAAAATAAAGCATTTCATAATACAAAAGGCTTCCCTTTCTATCCTAGGTTCAGGAAATCCTCCCCAAAATTGGTGTCGGAATGGACTGTAGAGGAAAATTCACTTGATGTTGGCAAAGAAGTCACCCTCGGGATGGAAAAATACCAGACAAATCAGATTAGGGGAAGGGTCGAGAATGTAATAGCGAAGAACACAGAAGGAACAAACGTTGCAGTTGGTGTGAAGTGTGAAAGCGAAGGATGTGATACAGGACTGAGCAAAAGAAGTGTGTGATTCACATGCACAGATTGTTAAGATAGTGCCCGCGAGATGACAAGAACAGATAATAATAAATGGGGTCAATGAAAGAGTTGAGCGCCAGGCTCACAAATTGAGCTGACCTGTAGAGTTGCCACCCCCTTGCCTACTGCAGACAATCTATAAGGATCAGCTCCAATCTCCCCCATTAGAGAAGCAAAGCCACTCACAGCTGTCTACGCTTATATGATCCTCCTTCCCCTCCCCAAAGTACGTACCTGTAAAGACCAGCAGAAGCAGTTGCAAAGGCAGGCACTGGCCTTCCATCTTTGCTCACCCTGCCACTCTGCTCTACAGCTGCCTGCTCCCTCCTGTGTTCAGCTTGAGATTTGGATTGGAATAACAGGAAGCGCCTCCTTTCCTCTGACAGAGCTGGTAGCGAGAGTGCAGCAGACATGTGAAAAATGAGATTCGGGAGCAAACCCTGCTCCCAGCGAGGCTCAAGTCTCCTCCCTGGCTCCCCACACCCTTCCAGAGTCACCAGGACCTCTGAAACCCTGGGGCGGCCACCTCGGGTCACCCTGCCAGGCAGCCAGAGCCCTCTGTTCTTCACGGCACATCCACTTTACAAGGCCCAGGGTGCCTTTTGCTTGGATAATGTCCTCTTCAGTTCTGTCTGCCCGGTTGTGAAATCCAAGACTGAGTGAAAGAGAGGGGGGAAAGGGAGAGAGAACTCCAAAGAGGCAGTCTGGGCAAAAGGAAGAGAGGCAAACGCCAAGTCTGTAGAAGCAGACATTGCTTCTCCCCGAAACAGGCACATACACTCCGCCTGCTACCACATCTTTTGACAAATCAGAAATGGGACAGACAGCCCTGGGGCACCACTGACATCTGCGTAGCTCATCTGACTAGTGCCTGAATAAGAGTTAAAAGAGAAAGTGCCCACATGCTAGGCAAAAAGTGCTTCGAAGTTGAATGACGATCTGGAGAGAAGATGCATATTCGTTGCTAGGCCTTGATAGAGTAGATCTTACAACCTCATCAGACTACTATGTGGGGTTGCCTTTGAAAACTGTTCGGAAGCTTCAAATGATTCAACAGGTGGCAACCAGGCTACCATCAGGGAGCATACAACTCCGCTGTTGCGCCAGCTCCACTGACTCCCAATTTGCTACCAGGCACAACTCAAAGTGCTGGCTTTAGCCTATAAAGCCCTAAACGGTTCCGGCCCAACTTACCTATCCGAACGTTTCTCCCCTTACGAACCTTCCAGGAATTTAAGATCATCTAGGGAGGCCCTGCTCTTGATCTGCCCTGCCTCACAGGCACACTTGGCAGGGATTTTTTTTTTCAGGCACTTCTACCCCACCCTTCTCAGCCCCCGAGGGGGGGACTCAGGGCGGCTTACAACCAGCACAATTTGATGCCAACAATTCAACAGAAAAATTACATAACAGCAATAACCACAGTAGTTAAAACAATCAATTAAAACAATAACAATTAAAAGCCAATCTAGTGGCCAGCGTTCACTGAGTTCTGATATCCGTAAGTCCATTCCGCATTACCATAGTCCTTTCCAATTTCTGGTCATCATTCTCTTGTCAGTCTGCCAGATTACCCAAAGGCCTGGTCCCATATCCATGTTTTCAGCTTCCTTCTGAAGGAGAGGAGGGATGTTGATGACCTAATTTCCCCGGGGAGTGAATTCCACAGGCAAGGAGCCACCACCGAGAAGGCCCTGTCCCTCGTCCCTACCAGCCTCACTTGTGATAGAGGCGGGGCCGAGAGCAGGTGGGACATAGAAGGACATAGAAGGAGATATGGACAGGCACGTTGGGCCGGAGCCGTATAAGGATGAGGCACAGGGTCTTCTCAGTGGTGGCCCCTCGGCTGTGGAACTCCCTTCCTGGGGATATTACATTGGTCCCTTCCCTCCTGACCTTTAGGAAAAGAGTGAAAGCCTGGCTCTTTGAGCAAGCTTTTGGAACCTCATTGTAACCAGATAAACTTGTGAACGAATATGGAATGACTTAACGATGCAAATGGACATGGATTTAAACCCAGAAGTCATTGATTTTTTATAGTTTTAAATTGTTTTTATATGAATTTTATTATGTGATTTAACCTGTTTTAAACAATGTATTTATGTGTGTTTGGCATCTAATTGTTGCCAGACTGTACGCAGCCCTGAGTCGCCTTTGGGCTGAAAAGGGCAGGATAAAAGTGTAGTTAATTAATTAATTAATCAGATGGGCCAAATTCAGCAGCTTATGCCAGTCCCAACTCATGATATCAAACTACTTCCGGCGGGGCTCCATGGTAATAGTCCCATCTCCCCAAGGGACTCGGTGCGGCTTACATGAGGCCGAGCCCACAATACATCAATAATAAAACAATAGCAAACAAACAATACAAAACAGTTAAAATACATCTCATAAACAAAAATAAAATAAAAGCAGTACAGTAACACAACAAGTATTTAAAACCTATGTCTGGGCCAAATGTAAAATCAAAATTTAAAAAATAATGCTGGGCATGAGCAAGGTAGGATATAACTGGGATGGAAATTTTCGGAGGAGATAAGGCGTGCGAATCTAATGGCAGTCCCTCCTCCGTCCTTGCTTCATAAACATTCAGGAGGCAATTTTCAAGGGGAGAAGGTTGCAGAAGGAAAAGAGCTAACTATCCCCTCCCCACATGTAGAGACCTCCCAGTTCTCATGCCCTCTGTGGCAGTTAACTTCAGGGGGAAGAATATTTCGGCCATTGCAATAGGAGGCAGTTTTCCTCTTGGAGGGAATGTGGGAGGAGGGGTGATTCAGGAGAGATAAGCAGAAAGGAAAAGGAGGAAAAATGTGTTTATTACTCTTCTCAAAAATGTAAACAAGCTGGCAGGGGGTCTTCCTCCAAGTAAAAGTTAAGAGTTTGTGTGTCTGTGCATGTATGTTTTATGGTGCTGCCCAATCTCTTCTGTTTTTTTCCTGGCTTTTCTTGTGATACACAGAAGGTGGTATAAGTGGAAAAGTTTCCTGAATACACTCCATGTGTCTTCCTTTCTGTTTGGGAAGAGAGTCACTAGTCCCCATTTCTAGCACATGGAGAGGTAATCCTAGAAAGTGTAGACTAAAGGAAGTGGGGGGGGGGGGGRGAGAGCAGGGGAAAGGGACAGAATAGCTGAATAAGAATTCCGTTTCTTTGTGAAATTTTCCTTCATTCTTCAAATTTCTAGTATAACAGAACGAGAGACTGAAAATCACAGAAAGCCAGAAGTGTTACATTTGCTAGATTCACATCCCCTTGATAACTTTGCTTGCCATAATTCTTTGGGAGCCTAAATAGTACAGGCAGTCCTCAAGTTATGAACAAGGTAGGTTCTGTAGGTTTGTTCTTAAGCTGAATTTGTATCTAAGCTGGAACAGGTACATTTTTTTATATGTAACTCCATATATATATGCTTGCTTGGGCACCATTAGAAATTGGTGCAGATCCATTGCCAATGGGGTTAGCAGTAGTCTCTGGATGTAGTTGAAGGTACTGCAAACCCCATCATTCATGGTTCATACTCCCCCAAACCTCACTATGATGTAAATAGCGACATGTGGGGATCTGCGTCCCAAGTTTGGTCTAGGTCCATCGATGGTGAAGGTTGCAGTGGTTTCTGGAGACAGGTAAAGATACTGCAAATCCAATCATCCATGGTCCTTCCTCCCCCAAACTTCACCAGGGCATAAAATGCATCTGGGGGGGAGGGGTCTGTGTCTCAAGTTTGGTCTAGGTCCATCATTGGTGAGGATCGCAGTGGTCTCTGGAGGCGGGTAAAGATACTGCAAATCCCATCATCCATGGTTCATACTCCCCCAAACCTTACTATGATGTAAATTGCATCATGCAGGGATCTGTGTCCCAAGTTTGGTCTATGTCCATCATTGGTGGGGGTCGCAGTGGTCTCTGGAGGCGGGTAAAGATACTGCAAATCCAATCATCCATGGTTCATACTTTCTCAAACCTCACTATGATGTAAATAGCGTCATGTGAGGATCTGTGTCCCAAGTTTGGTCTATGTCCATCATTGGTGGGGGTCCCAGTGGTCTCTGGACGCGGGTAAAGATATTGCAAATCCCATCATCCATGGTTCATACTCCCCCAAACCTCACTATGATGTAAATAGCGACATCTGTGTCCCAAGTTTGGTCTAGGTCCATCATTGGTGAAGGTCACAGTGGTCTCTGGAGGCAGGTAAAGATACTGCAAATCCAATCATCCATGGTTCAAACTCTCCCAGACCTCACTATGATGTAAATTGCATCATGTGGGGATCTGTGTCCTAAGTTTGGTCTACATCCATCATTGGGGAGGGTCGCAGTGGTCTCTGGAGGTGGGTAAAGATACTGCAAATCCAATCATCCATGGTTCAAACTCTTCCAAACCTCACTATGATGTAAATTACATCATGTGGGGATTTGTGTCGCAAGTTTGGTCTATGTCCAGAGCAGAGAGTTCCACTGCTGAACAGCTCTCACAGTCAAAAAGTTCTTCCTAATGTTCAGGTGGAATCTTCTTTCCTGTAGTTTGAAGCCATTGCTCCACGTCCTAGTCTCCAGGGCAGCAGAAAACAAGCTTGCTCCCTCCTCCCTATGACATCCCCTCATACATTTATACATGTCTCCTCTCAGTCTTCTCTTCTGCAGATAGGGACAATGTCCTTCTCCTACACATTTTGTAGCTACAACCCTGAGGAGAGAGTCATCCTTGCACTGGCTTGTGCCTTTCATTTCCCTCCTCTGCCATCCCTTTCTCTTTCCAGACTCCTTGTCTACTCAACGCTGTTCAGTCCTTTCTCCATCCTTTCCCACCCAAAAATGTACTCCCACATACCTTCCCGCTGACCCAATCTGGAAGGGACAGCCCTAATTAATCCTTTGTCCCATTTTCCAGCTGTTGTAAAAAAAATGTCTCAGTCCTTATCATACCACTCCTTTTTGCTGCCTTCTTCTGTTTGAAATCATCTCCAGCCAGACTCATGGGAGTAATTAATGATTGACACTATCTCTCACACCCTTGCCACACTTGCCCTTTAAGAGTCTTCCTTGCACAGTTTTATTCATCCTCATTAATGGCTTCATTACTGATGCCAGTACGCCATCCCTTGCTTCATGATTGCACCATCGATTATTTTTAAAAATATGTAGCCACTACCCGTCCCCTGCCACGCGTTGCTGTGGCCCACTCTGGTGAACTGGAAAATAAAGTAATGAGAAACTGTTGGTTTCTAATATATGTAATGTCTTTATGCTTGAGGGTAAAAAGTACTTCTTGTTGCTTCTTTGTCAGTGTTGATGTAGAAATTGTCTGGTTTGCCTACTCTGGAACATACAACATATAATTGTCCTTCTTTAGGGGTCCCTTTCAAATCTATGATACCATATCTGTCATATACATGTGTGTGTGTGTGTGAATCATATATATCTATCTATATGGCAAAGAGCTGGATGGCTCTTTGTCAGGAGTGCTTTGATTATGTTTTCTTGCCCTGGTGAAGGGAGTTGGACTGGGTGGCCCTAAGGCAGCATTTCTCAACCTGAGGGTCGGGACACTGGGGGCGGGGGTCATGAGGGGTTGTCAGAAGGGTTGTCAAAGACCTATTCAGATGTCCAGCCCCATCACCTGATTGACCAAAAAAGAGACTGGCTAGGATCCATCTCAGGATTACTAAGCAGGGGAGAAAGGCAGGTGGGGATTGATGAAGAAGTTTGGTAAAACTATGGAATAGACATAGTAAA